TCAGTGCTACAAGGCACATAGCTGCATAAAACCAGTGAATGTGCAGCCAAATGACGTGCTGTCAGAGCTAATCAGATTACAAGAAGAAATATTCTTTTCTCACAGGCGTGAGAAGACCTTCTTCTTACAGAACCACAGTCCGGTGATGATGGCAAACCCAGTCCCACCCGACAAATATGACAAAACAGACACCAGACAGGCAGCAGCATCCTCTCCTCCCCTAGAAACAACAGTTTCTACATTTCAACAACCAGTGCACACACTCCCAGACGCACACTCACACACGCAATGCTTCATGCTAAAACAAGCGTGGAAAAGAGGGAGTACCGACTAAGCATAAAATAGATGCTGAGTTTTTCTGATGCTGTCAGATTGCAGGTAATTAATTTTACATTTGAAAGGTTCCTCATTACCAATGCCTGTGCACCATCGATCACAACACATCAGCAGCGAAGAGGCAAGCCCCAGAACTCCTGCAGCACTTTCAGTGGAAACATAACCAAAAGAATGACTGACTGACTCTGGAGTCAGGACATAAACCTCTGAGGTCACTGGCTGACTAAAAGATAGAGCAGCTTTTGTGTGTTGAAGCTTTGGCTCAGGAATGGTGAATTACTGGTATTTACCTTCTTACATTGGCAGTATTATCAGACAAGCAAATTATTGCATGTTATGATTTTTAGGCAAAAAATGTGTTGAACACCTCAGCTTGTGGTGTTTTTTTAGCTACTGAGAGCCGTAAATGAATGCAGATGTGGGTGGCTGGCAGATATTGTGAACCCTTCTGGATCATGCTGAAACAATTGAGATGTTGTGTGTATTTTTGGACAAACTGACCATTTAACTCCTGCCAAGCCTGCATAGTGTGAGGGCTGTATGTGTGTTTGGGATAAGAATGAGGTGCAGATATTATTGTTCTTTCTCGGCTGATTTAGGTGCTGAGTTTGAGGGCGGGATGGGCTGCAGGTATGTGTCTGTGACTATTATCATAGTATCAGTACTGCAGTTGTGTGGACACAGAAATATATGTAAACTTCAGCAGAGCTGATGTATTGTTTGGAAGCACGGATGGCCTGGATAACATGAACAAGGACGTGTGCCACTACTATAGTTTTTCAGTTTAACTGAGTCATTGTGGATTTGGGTCATGGTGCTATAAATGTTGTATCCAATGACACATGTTCAGGCAAACCTTATTCAAATCATTCTGTAGTGTTTTCATTTTGCATCTAATGTACTGCTGATTTATAGGAAGAAGAACAGCAGGGTGGGAGATCAAGCTGTGCTTTTTTTTTTTTTTTTTTTTTTTTTAGATTTTAGAGCATCTCTGACATGAAAGGTCCGTTTGTCCTCCAGACATTCATTTGAAATGAACATTTAGCTGCTACACTACAGGGGCCTGCAGCAGTGTGGGAGATACCAGAGAGCTTGGTCACTCCCTGGTCACCGTTTCAGACTACTTCCTGTGCTTTCTAATTAAATTAGGTCAAATTGGCTCGACTGGATGAAGATCTTCAGAGAATGCAAAACACAAGAGTTCAACATTTGTGGTGTGGGTGTAAGAAAGTTGTAGTGCATAAAACATAAATGCAAAGATAGAGCCACAGTAAATGTTGCACATACCTGTGTTGATTGTCCTTAATGAGAGCAGCACAGAGTTGTAATCCTACACTTGCACAGCACAAGTGGCTCCATAGTTTTCCTCATATACTGCAGCAAGATGTTGCACAGTTGATCTCAGATTTTCGAGTATCCTGACAAGAATATGCATTAAACAATCAAATCAGGTGAAACCATTTTTATTTGTATTGCCCGATAACACAAATCACAAATTTACCTCAAGGGGCTTTACAGTCTGTACAGCATACGTCAAATTGAATAATAGAAAACCCCCAAAAACCCCTTTAGCAACAGAGGTGGTATCCTTCTTTCAGGACTAACAGTCACGTAATACAGAATAAATCCATTTCCACCACAAAGTTTCCCACAGCAGACTGTTTGCTTATTTTTCTCCATTGTACACTTTCCAAAAACTACAAACTGGCCAGTAGTTACTTCCAAAATGGAACATTTGGACTCATGGCCTAAAGCTGATGGGTGGCTCCAGATAGGAGCGCTTGTTTTTTCCTCTTTTACTTGTTGCTCACTACAGATTCGGATGAACCATCTGGTGTTGGTGCTACATTTGGATCAGCCATAACAGCGACATACAGTTGGCTTCTGTCCCTGTGTCTGGCAGCCACATATGTGTTGCTAGGATGGGAGGTGGCATTACACTGCTCAGGTGTACACTTGTTATGGCAGTGAGAGGGTGGGCTAGTTTTCTGAACCAGTCTGGCAACTTGGATCTTTAGATATTTGTGCATAGTTCTTTTTTTTTTTTTCCAGTTATCTTATGGCAACAGACAATGATAAGGCCTCCAACCTTAGTTGTGTTCAATCAATCAGAAGTTTGGAGATACCAGTTCACGTTGTCTTTCCTCACTCCACCTTCATCTAAGATGGTATCTTCCAGCTTCTGACTTACTGAACACACCTGATCCAGGTAATCAGCAGTGGGTAGGGCAGGGATGGCTGGAAAAACAGCAGGGCAGCGATCCTCGAGGACCGGACATGCTGGCCCTTGCCTTAAAGGTGTCCACATCAGTGGCAAAAAATGAATAAAACACAACAGACACCACTACTTTGCTCCTCGCAGACAATGTGTCCAGGTTTCCTGGCATGTTGGCTGGTAGGCAGGACAGCATGATACCTGGCATCCGTTGGGTCTCGCCAAGACTCTGGTGGAGCGGATTTGACACCATCTGGAGCTTGCGCACTTGTGCCATCCCACCCAAAGCCAAGAAGATGATTGCTATCAGCATGATTACACCTTCATTAGATTAGTCGTGCATTGTTTACAGGCTGGCGGCTTTGCCTGTGCCAGCCTTGAAGGAATACTTTCTGCTGAGAAACCAACGAGAGGGTGGAGTGTTCAACCTGACAGTTGGCCTTATTATGACATAAATGCGTTACTGTAGGAGAAAGTCATAAGGACAAACAGTTTCCATTTTGATCTTTTGCAATTTATTCTGTAGTCATCCTGTGTGTTCTGAGATGGTCAGAAAGAATTCTAAAACAGGTAATGGTGGCCATGCCCAAAATGACAAACTTGTGTCTGGATATCATACTTATTTGGTTATAACAGAGCCTTGATCACATAAAGGGGCAGGATTATTTCTAGTAACAGCTCTGTTTGGACTGAGTCGCAGTCTGCAGAACCGTGCTAAAACATTGTGTGTCACTGTGCTGTTTTCATTAGTGTTTCTTCACCTAAGTTTGACTAAACTGTGGACAACTGTTATGTGACATTACATTTCCTCTTGATGAAACGATTTCCACTGACTGACCTCTGCGGGTCCTTTAAACCCAGCATCCAGTCAACTACAATCATTTGCTTATAATGGGAGACGGCCAAGAAATCTTCCACCCGGTATCATTTTGCAGCAGGGCCTTCCTTGAAGATTGAATCAAAAACTCCATATAATCGGTCCTTACAGAGCTTAATTTCTTAAAGGAGCTAGTTTTGGGACTTTCAGTACTGGTTACACAGTGAACATGGAGGTAAAGCAGGACCTTTCTATAGCATAGTTTTGTTTCTTTCAAAACTTTTGGAGTTGATAAAAGATTCTTCATTTGGATCACCCCATTTCCATTTCAGATGCTGTTCCTACAAAGATAAATATATCTTCATCGAACAGTTTCAGAGCGAGAAAGTGCTTTAATATTTCATGATTGATGTTTAAAAAAAAAAATCTAGATTCATCCATAATGAGTGCAGCATCAGTTTTTGCAGAAACAAGTTTTCACTGTGGTTGCAGCTCATGTTAGTGCCACACCATGGAATAAAGGGGGGATGTGTTCTGCCAGCGTCTGTCTCCTCCATGCCAGTGCATCATGAGGAGAAGCAAAAGGCACTGGGAGAGCCAACTTTCCACTCCAGCTGGAGAGCTGGTGAGAGCCATGGTTTCTTTTGGCTCCTACTGTCGGCCCTTGTAGTAGCAGGTCTCCAAGGCTAGGCCATGATTTCAAAATAGCACTGAGCTATCTTGCCAAGCACTTTAATTGCCCAAGTGTGGGGTCCTTTTGCGCTGCCTAGCAGATGAACCTTTTCCTTTTCAAGTCTCAGAATGTTCACTTAATGTTTTTGCTTACATTTGGAGCTTTTTACCCGAGTTATCTGAATTACAGCAGAACACACAGATTGATTTGTTAACTGATAGTCGCCACATCTCAGTCGTCTGTCTCCATGTCTAGAACTGGATCCACACATGTGATAAACAAACAGTTCTTAGACTTTTTCTGTTTATATCTCATGCTGTCACTTTCACCTCAGATCACTGATTTTCTGAACATGAACTGCTCTCTCCTAGGCAGCATCCTCTACAGTGACTCCCTTCATGGCAATGTAAATAAAAAGAGGAGCCCATCAGTATTCTCCTCACACCTACGGCTGATGGTCAAGTCACTAGTTCACAGAGCTTCACTGTCTCTGTCTCTGTCAATGCTGTCTCTGACCACACGTACCCCTGTGCACTGGCTACCACCACCAAACTTTTCTTGAGACTGCAACAGACACCATCTTTCAGAAGTGTGAACTACCACCCCCTGTTGGCCATGTCAGGGAGTTCAAACGTCCAGATCACACTGCCTAGAATTTCACTCCGTATCCATTTATGCTTATACTCTACTGTACTGACATAATTAGTCATTCAAAGGATGCATCGCAGTTCTGTACCTGAGTTTATTAGTCTTAGTTTCAGTGCACTGAGCTCAAACATTACAAATTAATTTGAGGCTCTCAAAAACTATGTGCAGTGAAATGATTAATAATCTTTTTTAGGATAATATTGAGAAAATAATCTGGGCAAAGTCTTAGCTGACTTTATCTAACAGAAATGCATAAAATAATCCACATTATACAACAAACTTGCCTGATTCTGTGTGTTTGCTCTGGTTAGGTCGAACTGGCTGAAGCCCTGCTGCGGTCGTCGGGTGGCCCTGTGGCAGGTCTGTCTGCTCAGCGCTGGCTTCAACTGTATCCTGGTGGCCTGTGTCATCCTGGTGGTGCTGTTCCTGTCATTGGAGCTGCTCATAGACACCAAACTTCTACAATGTAAGTAGCATGCATGACCGCTCATTTATTTCTCCTATTTTAACCTGTTTATTCTTCAAGGATAGGTTTGCTGACTGTGCTTATTCTTCTCCAGCAATATATTCTGTGACGTTGGTGAAACACCTGGGAGGCATCCGGTGCCTCACATAGCAGCAGCGGCGGGTTACAGGCTGCGGCGTCCTTGAACGTTAAACTGATTTTTACTAATGCCACTGATGTTGTACCTGCATCTGCAACACTTCTTTTCAAAAAATCCTACTCCCCATACATCTACGCTGGTGTTACTTTAAACACATGATGCTAAATGCATCAGAGGTTGTATGTTGTCATGGTCAACATAATGAGATGTAAGAGCACATCACAGCAGTTGTGGAAAGTAACTACATTTACTCAAGTAATGTACTCGAGTACAGTTTTGAGTTTCTGTAATTGACAACAGTCATAGAGGAGCTGGCAAATAGTGATGATGGAGAGAGCTGGTAATGAACGAAGTCTCTTGTCAGTGGCAGCAGGCACACATCTCCATCGATCACTGGCCGGCATCCAGCTTTGATGATACCTGAGTCGTGCTGTGGGGACTGCAGGCGTCTGTCCACTTCAGATCCATTGTAATCTAGTGCTTTGTCCGCTGCCAGTCCTGCAGGACAAAAGAAGAGAGGGCAATAAGGAGGCAGTGAGCGAGAGATCAGTGGACAAGGGTAGATACAGGTTGGCACTGTGGATTAATGGATGAGCTCTGAGATAAGATAAGATAATCCTTTATTGTCATTGTAACACGTACAACAAAAATTTAGAGTGACCCCCAGTCGGTGCAGCAATAAAAAAAAACATAACATATGAAATGAAACAATATAAAAACATAACCACTAAAAAAAATGAAATGGACTTCTCAGCTGGACAGGAAGCTCTTAGTCAATGTACAGTTGGGATATGAAATTCCCACATCCACCAGCTTGTCCACCAGTTTGTCCACAAACCTACAAAGTCCCTCAGTTCTTCAAGCTAGTTTCTTTTAGAGGTTCCCATGGGCAGATATAAACATTGGGGTGACCATGCTTTTACCGTTGCAGCCCCTACATTGTGGAATAGTCTATCTTTTAATGTTAGATCAGCTACTGACCTGACTACTTTTAAATCATTGCTTAAAACATATTTATTTGTATTGGCTTTTAATGCACAGTAGGGCCATTCATTTTAATTTGATTTATTGAATGTGTGTCATCTGTGTGTCTGAGTTATTGTTTTATTTTTTACACTGAACCTATTTATTTTATTTAAGTTATTGTGATTTTTATTCTGCCTATGTAAAGTACTTCGGTCAACTGGATGTTGCTTTTAAAGTGCTATATAAATAAAATTGATTTGATGGTGTTGAATGAAGATATGGAAAGAGGAGCAACAAGAGGAGCAAAGTGGATGAAAGTTCAAATCAATTCAGGCAGGATGTCAGAATCAGAATAGAAAGGCTTATATTTTTGATGAATGACAGGATCCTAACACAGAGGACAAAAATGTGCTGAGTTTATTTTGTTCAACAAAATCAATTAGCGGGCTCACAGTCACCTCATAGATACAGGAACACTCAGTTCTCTTGTGTGGTTTCCTGTGTGCTTTACACTTTGCAGGTTAACATTTGTCTTCTCTCAACAGTTTCCAATGCTTTCCAGTTTGCCAGCATCATCCACTGGATCAGCCTTATCATCTTGTCACTCTTCTTTTCAGAGGTAAGATTTTTGTGTGGTACTATATGGGCACTTCAGGCTGATTTTTGAACTGACACACACTTCTTTTTAATGTGAAATTTAATTAACCCTAACTAAGCTTTCTTCAGCTGTAGATGAAGTCCTGTTTCCAGTACTACTGCAAACAAGGTTCAGGAACAAAAGTAATTTCTATTATCGTCTAGCCAGAATTTAGTTTTGGCTTCAGAAATGCTGCCTTGAGGCTGGGTGACTGACAAACTATCTTGTTTGGACCATAATCATAATTTAGTCTTAATGAAATTTGAGCCATTGTTTGATAAAATAATGTCTTATCATCACTCTGGAACTGTGAAAACCAACGTAGATGGGAAAATTTGGCCCTCAGGCCTCCACTCCAGTCCAAACCAATTACCCTGACAGCTTCAGGCCCAATGCCCAAAACCAAACATTAATTACCAGTGAGCCAGCAGGAGCAGCGATTAAAGCTGAGCTTAATGAGCAGTGGGAATGGGGTCACGGTGATATGATCCATCCAAACACCTCGCTCACTGAAATCATAGAAGAAGAGTCATCTGGGGAATGGTTTCAGACAGATGTAGCTTATCACTGTCTGGTCCCTCTGCACCAATCACAGGACAGGATTCAAACATGTGGGCGGAGCACCTGTACGTCTCCTCTGACAACAGCACTGTTATTCATCACTGAGCTAGATGATTGATTAGGACCAGTCATACATACCTAATTGGACCATAAATCAATGGTCAGAGCACAATGTAGAATTTGACAGGTAATCAGATTACCGGTGCTGTACTTTCACAGGTCACAGATCAATATCAGGGAACTGATTTGCGACAGATATAGCTTTATTAAAGAGGCCTGTTGTGTGGAACTAAATTAGTAAATTAAAGCTATTCTGTCTTCTTTGACATGTCAAAGGCAAATGAATGTTACTATCATGAGCAATTATGCTCATGCTTACTTTGCACTAATCAAATACATGTTCTTTTTATTTTTGGCTACTTTTAGTGAGTCTGGCTTCTTTCAAAGGTATTATTCTACAGTTTTTAGGAATAAAGAAGCTTTAAAGAAGACGACTGTACTGCTCAGGCCTTCTCAGTGTCATTATGTGTTCACAAATCTTGACAGAGGTTGCTGGATGGGATGACAACTCAAAAAGCTGAAACTATTACAGGAGCTTTTCATATGTATCAGCATACTCCCTCACCCATTTTAATGCTTTCATTTCTTTCTCCCTGTCTCAGACTGTTTTCAGAATTGTGGTTCTTGGGATCTGGGACTACATAGAAAACAAAGTTGAGGTGAGTATTTGTGTTCTGTGTTTACTGGCAGATCTTAATGCAGAGATTTTAATCTTTTTCAGATATTGAGTTTTAATTTTTGCCACTTCTTTGTACATATATAATATACAGTACCAGGATGTGTAGTGTTATTCGATGAAGTACCAAAGTGTACCTATGGTGTGCACATGCACAGTTAAGTTGTGGCTTGTTTTGAGGGCCATGTAAGCACTTTTCCTACAGTGGCAACTGTCATTGCCCACACAATCAAAGTGGTTTTATCCTCTGGTGTAGCAGAATAACATAGTGTCACAACCAGTTATCAAATGTC